ACTTCTCCCACCCTCACTTAAACTAAACCAATTTTACCTCATAAACATCTTTTATTTTTTAATTCCTCACCCAAGGATATTTTTTCCATTGCTTTTTAGAGAGTGGAGGGGGAGAGAGAGAGAGAAACATCTTTGTGAGAGAGACACATGGATTGGTTGGCCCCTGCATGGACCCCAACCAGGGCTGGGGATGCAGCCTGCAACCAAGGTATGTGCCCTTGTCTGGAATTGAACCCTGGACCCTTCAGTCCTTGGGCTGATGCTCTAACCGGCTGGGGCATAAACATCTTAAATTTTACCTCTTAGTACATCTTAAATCAACCCCTCCTTTATATTCCTATGACTCCTCACCAGAACCATTGTCCTAGCCTCCTAACTAAAGCCCTTATCCCAGTATCTACCCTTCTGACCTATTCTCTACTTAGCTGCCCAAGGAAATCTTTCTAAAAACCAACACTGATCATGTTCATTCCTATATGGAAATCCTTCCATGACTCCCTACTGTCCCCAGGATAAAACGTATACCCTTTCTTTGGATCTGCCTCCTACTTGACTTTCATCACCCTCTCACCTGCATCCTATACTCCACTCAGGCAAAATTACACGTTTTTTTGAGACCATGCAGTACATGTTTCTGCACTCCATAAGTACTTGGTGGGGCTGACAGGCACTATGCCCCCTCTGGCCCCTCCCCCCTTCTACTCCACAGGGATGCATACACAACCCATCAGGCCAGGCAGGGGACTCCATCACCCTGACCAAAGTGATTAGTTTAGATATGGGGTTGTGACCTAAGTAAAGCCAATCATAATCTTCCCCTCAAAGCTCTCTTGCTTTTGAGGCCATGGCGCTAGAAACATGAGATTGAAGCAGCTGGCATTTAGTTATCTCTGCCACATGAAGAAAGTGTGTCCATGGCAGGAAAGAGACTGGGACCAAGGCACAAAGTAAAGCTGAGCCCTGAGAGATGGAGACATGGTGATATTTGAGTCCTGAATTCAGCCCTACTTGAAGTCAGTAATACCACACTGCACACGGTTCCCTTCTTGCTTAAGCTGGTTTGTGTTGGTTCCTACCACTTGTAATTAAACTACCCTCATACAGAAATGGGAGTGTGCAGAATGTGGAATTGTCAGAACTGAAGTGAAATGTCAGTGGGGATCTGATGATCCTTGGCTGAGAATTTGGAAATCCTTGTTATTTGGTATCAAGTCAGCTGGTTAAATGATCTATTTTATCTTGAGATCTGGGTCATGCATCCATCATAGAGAGAGATTTCAGGAACACACTGGGAAAATGTCTGGATGTTGGATTATGCTGGCCTCTTCTCAAGATTTTCAGTAAGGTTCTGCAGTTCAGCTTTCTTCTATGCTGGCAGAACCAGAGCTGTACACAGCTGTTTAGAGCTGCCTTTTCTCATGCAGGTTGGCCAGATTGAGTGCTTGTGTGGTTGTCTCACTCCTGTCCTAAGCACCTCATTGGGGCTGCGGCTTAGGAGCCAGTGCAACTCAGGGATTTGTGACTATCTGGTCAGGGCCACTGGAGCGTGAGCCACCCAGGTGTCAAAGAGGTAATCTGTCTCTGGGAGCATTGAGCAGATTAAGGTTGACTTATTGCCAGATGGGCCATTATGGAAGCCATGAAGTTAAGAGGGAAGGAAATGGGCAAAGTGTAACCTGTTGCTAAGAGACAGAAATTCCAAAGGCCAGATCCAGACTCAAGGACAAGGACTCAGCAAGATTCTTGATTATGGTTATTAGCTCACAGAGCGCCCAGGGATCAACTCAATCACCAGGAATCCTCACACCTGGCAAATGGGGATCTGGGAATGTGTCATCTCTAAGGCATCCTTTGGGCCCAAAGTCATGTCCAAAGGGAAGAGGGAAGCTTCAGTTCCAGAAGGGGCATCCTCTTAGGGGTGTCCATAAAGGACAATAAGTAAAAGAGGTATTTCCCAGTGGAAAGGACCAAGAGCGATCATTTTTTTTGACCAAGAAACTTGCTCCACTGTCCAGAAAGATGTGCTATATGCTATAGATTAGTGACCATTGTTTTCTGCCCTGTTCCAAATGGAAGGTGTGGTTTTCTTTTTAAAAACTGGTTATCCTATTTTCCTCCACTATTTCATATTGGCTATCTTTTAGCCATGGATTGCAAAATCATGAGAAGTTTTATCCAGACCTGATCAAGAATTGCACATTACAAAGGGACCCTGGACTGGGGGTTCAATAAAGCACCTGGAAATGATCCTGTTCTGTTTTCTTTTGGGAAGTGGGCATTACTGTTGGGCCTAGGATCATTGTATTGTTAGGCAGGCACACTTCTGAAATTGTGTTTGTCAAGAAAAGTATAGGTGGATGCTGAGCAATAAAGAGGTGGAATATAGTAGATCCATATTGCTTATCTGCCCATCATCCCTTCCTTTGGGGACCCATTCTTTCCCTCCACACAGACCTGGTAAAATTGTCAATTATGATAGCCTATAGGTAGGGACCACCCTAGAGGTGGGGACATGTCCATTCTTGCCAAAGTTCTTTGTAGAACTTTAGAGCTGGAACTAGTGAGGCCAAACCAAAAGATGGGGGCATTATTTGAACCCCTAGATCCAGCCATGCCTGAAGGCAGATATATCCTTTGATTTACCAATTATGTAAGCCAATTAATTTCCTGTTGGCTTAAACATATTTTAGTTGGGTTTTTGACATTTGCAGCTGAAAGGGTTCAGGTTACTAGATGCACACACAACAGACACACAAACACCATGTTGTTTAAACTCATTAGATGTTATACAATCTTCCATGATTGTATAGGGGTCAGTAAAGTTTTTATCTAAAAGATCAGATATTTTTAGGGTTTGTGGGCCACATACACTCTCTGTCTCATATTTTTTAATTTTTACAATCCTTTAAAAATGTAAAAACCATTCTTAGTTTGTAGGCCATACAAAAACAGGCTGCAGGCCAGATTTGCCCACAGGTCGTAAGTTTCCTGACCCTTGATCTAGACCCTGCCAAACCCTGCAGCATTGGCACACAATCTGCCAGTCCCTAACTATGAAGCAAAAATACTTTAAAATGCCATTTTGGTTCAAGTTTTTTTTACATGACTTTGTAATGAGTTAAGGTTCAGGGTAGAGTTAGGAATGGGAATAGTCTTGGTGCCCATTGTCTGCCACATAATAGGCACTAAATAAATGGTAATCATTATTATTTCTTGGTAATAAAGATAACATCAAAATGATGCAGCTGTCCAAATGTCTTTGTCCAAAAGACCCAGTTCATGCTCAAAGACCTTTTCACTCCTTTCATTTCCTTCAGGAAACCTTTTTCTGATCTCCAATCAAGTCTGAATTACCATTGAAGTCTCGATTAGGTACTCTTCTTTTTGTTATCATAGACCCTGTGTGGTCCTCCAATATAACCACACTATCGGTCTGTCTTTCCTCCTAACTTTGAGTATTTAGAACATGCCTGAGCCTCAGCTGCTAGCACAGTGCTTAGCACCTACTACTGAGGGAGCCTCTACACCTCTATGTGAACATCTGTTTGAATGTGCAGGTGCTACCTATCTCTACCAGTGTCCAGGGTGGTCAGTCTATGTGTCATCATTGTGCGACATACAGATGCCCTCGACACTGGTTCCTCTCTCAGTTGGAAATTATTAGTTCATATACACCACACCTTACTTGGTAATGCTATCACTGGATCTATTTTTCATCCCATTCCCTCCAAAAATGAGTCAAAGACAGAGGAATATTTTTCTTAGGAATACGTTTTCTTAGAAACTGTTATGAAGGAGGAACCCTCTGACCCCACCCTCACATCCTTTAGTGCCTGATGTGCTATCACATCAGAGGTCTCCAGCCTCAGCAACATGTGGGGATCAGAGTGCCCACCACACACCTGGGGCCACAGACCAGTTTGATCCATGTCTATGCGGTGGAGAGGAAATTATCCTTTTGAGAAAAATATGCACAAGTCCCTGCAGGCCCAGGAAAGGATGACAAAGGCAAGGTGAGTCATGGTGTTCTAAGCTGAAATCTTTTGCCCATCTCACAGACACAGGCAGGAAGTACCACCATTGATCAGCTTTATATGGCACCCACTGTATACAACAGACAGACAAAGACAGACAGACAGAGCACACACCACTAAGCTGAACACTGCTCACCATCTAGAAGCACCTTGGATAAGCATGTGAGACACTCTTGCATAAGAAAGATGTAGTTTTTAAAGGAATGAAGAAGTATTTTGGCAAAACATCTACTTCTCTCCCAGGTCCTGGGTAAAGAGGGACCTCTAAATTCTGAGGCTTCTACATATTGAAAATTATTCCCTTCTCAATGGCAGTATGTACAATAGCAAACCTCCCAAGTCTGTTCTCTACATGTATCCTGAATCTACTTTACAGGTGGGCAAACTTAGACTTAGAAACAGAAGGTGGTCCAGAGCAACAGGACACTGGGGCTGGCTAAGGGTGAGGGCAAACAGGAGGTGTCTTGGCTCAGCCAAAAGCAGGGCCTCTGTCTATCTGGAGGGGAAAGGGAAAGGCTAGGGTGACCAAAACTCCCTCTTTCTTCCTGCCTGGGGAAGCAGAGGTTCCACAGGAAAGGCTGTCTGGAAAGAAAGGCAGGTTCCCACTCTTGCTGGCTAGGGACTCTCTCCGGGTGGCAAAGGCTGGGGCAGGCCAGAGCTCCTCCTGAGGCCTCTTCAGTGACGCTCTGTGTTTGGAGATTGTGGCTTCACTGCTTCCATATCTCTCGTCACCTGTACCTGAGCCTAGACCTCAAGTCCTTAATTATTTTTAAAAGGCAGGGTGGGGAGATGGTTTAAGAGAATATGAGACACTGAACAATCTTTCCACAGCCTCCCTCTGTCTAGGCTGGGGCTTTTAAAGGTCTCCTTCACCCTGTCTCCTAGGGATATTTAAAGGCAGCTTTTATGAGACTCTCTACTGTCTTCTGTGTTTCTCTTGTGTGTGTGTGTATATATATACATATACACACACACACATATATATACATATATATATATTCTTTAAAAAGCAGTAGTCCTTTGGTCCCTAAACTCTAAGGAATGATATGATTTTGAACAAAGTAAATCTGGGCTTCCCTTGCAGAGAAGCCCTTGGCACCCCCAAGGCCCTCTGCTGGTTCCCCTCAACTGTCCATCTTCAGCCAGCCCCAAATGCCTTGCCAGCGTGAGCTTTATGCCACAGGCATAGAACAACTCATTTGATGAAGACAATCCTTAAAGTGGCCCGAGTCCCAGGCGCTGGCTTTGGGTCCAACCCGCCTCCGTCTGCGGCTTCTCCTTCAAGAAGGGCTGCTGAAGTGTTTCTGTGCTTTTCCTCTCCTTTCTTCTCACTCTTCAGTGTCTGCTGTTGGTATTAATTGATAAGGGGCGGGGGGTGGAGGCAAAAATCAGTCTGGAGGGCAAGATAAGAAGAGCAGCTTTCCCTGTCAGCTATATCTTAGGTGAGTGCCTGGGCCTCTCTTCCAGAGGAGCAGAGCTACAGCAGGCCCTAGCCCAGTACCCACCCCAGAGGGCTCCCTGGGGTAGCTCAAGCAAGGCAGGGCCATGGGGACCTTCTGAGATACAGGATCTCTAAAAGTTGCTGACAGCTAGCCCTCCAGAAACCTAACAGAGCCTGTCATCTCCCTCCCCATCACCCACCAGGCCCCACAGGTCCTGCTTCTCTTCTTGTACTTGCTTCTCTCCTTGCCTCCATATTAACTGCCATTTCCCCAGCCCTTACATTGTGTTCCCTCTTTGCTTAAATTCCTCATGGTTCTCTACCATCTTCAGGATAAAGTCCAAACTCATAACCTTTAAGACCCTTCACAAGCTTGCCCAAATCTACTTTTCTACTCTCATTCTCATCCCCCTCTGCCCTCCTTCAACACAAGTTCTCTACTACCATGCCCCTCTGTGGCTCTCTCTGGAGTAAAAAGAACTGGTTGGATCTTACTGTTAATTGTCTCTCCCAGACTATGGGGACAGGAATGTTGTCTAATTTATCTCAGTCCTTGAATTGAAGGAAAAACACAAGTCTCCAACTGAGGATTCCTCCTAACTCCTGGCTCTTCTCTCCCAGACTTTTTCAGAGATAGATGCCCCAACATCCCCAAAAGAACAAAACACTGAGAGGGCCTCCATCACTTAGACCCCATCTGCTTGGGGTCCACTTAGGACTCACCTTTCTGTGGCTGGCCAGTGAGAGCAGATCAGTAAGGCCTGTTGGCATCCTTGGGCCTCTTTAGCTGGACCTTGAGCCTCTTCATGCCAATTTGAAAGCCATTCATGGCCTGAATAGCTGTCTGGGCACTGGTTGGATTGTCAAAGCTAACAAACCCTGGGGGTTTGGGCACAGGGGTTAGCTGGGAACTCTGCCTGGCAGGGCCCCCTGTCTCTCTGACCAGCTCTTCTTCTCTCTGCCCCTCTCAGCTCCATCAAACATATACCCCATCCACCCTCCATTGTTTGCACATACACATACACACACACTCATACTTACATGGTCAAATGGACTGAATTCACACTTTCATAAAAGTGTGATTCTTTGAAGGACAGGAAGCAATTCTGAGTGAGTGAGTGTGTGTGTGTGTTGGTTGGGGTGTTTCCTTGTCTTTCCCTAGCATGGGTTGACCCTCTGCCTCCACAGCTCCCATTCTGGTCCTCTTAACTGCAGTTGGAGTTGGAAGGGATCTCTGGTCCCAGACCCAGACACCTCCTGTCCTGGCTAGACTCTAAAGCCTGACCTGGTGAAATATATTCCAGATACCTGACCTTCCCAGATATATCTTGAACTCCACTTGTTCCTAGTCTGGGCTTAGCCCCAACATTGAGCCTGCTTTGTGCTATATGCGCAGTCTTTGGGAACCATTGACTTATGGCTTTCTCAAAGTTGGAAGTGGGAGAGGCGCAGGGATGGGGCTCAGCTTACCGAAACACTTGCTCTGGTTGGTGGCTCGATCCACAAAAACTTTGGCAGAGACTACAGCTCCAAAGGGCAGGAATGTCTGTATGAGTTCTGCATCACCAAACTCCTGAGGCAGGTGATAGATGAAGAGGTTACAGCCTTCCGGGCCTGCAGGAATAGTAACAGGCTGGTTCAGGGGAGGGATCCTGAGTCCAGCCCCACCAGGCCCTGATCTCCAGCCCTGTCCCTCACCTTCTCTTTGCTGCTGGGGCAGGGCTGAAGGCTGTTGGGGAAAAGCTGGGCTCACTGGGGCATAGGCCGATGGGTAGGCTGCTGGAGACAGAGGCGGGAGTGGGCAGTGAACCTCAGGAGCCATCCCCCAAGCAGGGCCCCATCTGCCTGGCCACCTTTGACCAATTCAGCCTAGTCCACAGTAACCCTCACCCTTAGAGAGGTCGTTCTGGGCCAGGGGTTGGGGAATGGGAGGGTCAACTCGTCAGAAAAGAGCATATCCCCCGCCCCCTCCCATTTCCCTATTCCTTTCTGGGGCCCCTCAAACCCTCCCAGGCTGCGCAGAGCCCAGTGAAACCTGCATAGTGGTGCATCCCAGCGTAGGCCTGCTGCAGGGGGTCAGCCACGCAGGGGCTCTGGGCTGGGGAGAGAGGGGCGCAGGGCCACAGTGAAGGCGGCTGGCAGGCAGGGTGGAGTGAAAAGCAACCGGGAAAGAGGAGGCCCCCCGCCCCCG